GTAGTCGTAGTAGTAGTAGTAGTAGTAGTAGTAGTAGTAGTAGTAGTAGTGGTGGTAGTAGTGGTAGTAGTAGTAGTAGTAGTAGTAGTAGTAGTGGTAGTAGTAATAGTAGAAGTAGTTCCAAAGGTTCCAGTAACAGTGTAGTGGAAGAACTAGCCGTAATGGTAATACATATAGTAGTCGTGGTAAGCGTGGGGGTAGTAGTAGTTGTAGTAGTAGTGGTAGTGGTAGTAGTAGTAGTAGTAGTAGTAGAAAAAGAAGAAGTAGTCGTCGTAGTAGTAGTAGCAGTAGTCGTAGTAGTAGTAGTAGTAGTAGTAGTAGTAGTAGTAGTAGTACTAAAAATAATCATAGTAGTACTAACAGTAGTAGCGCAAGTAATACAAATAGCAGCCGAAATAAACGTAATCGTGGTAGTGGTCGTGGTAGTAGAGGTAATCGTACTACCAATGGGCAATCGCTGTAGCACTCTTCGTAGTAGTAGTAGTCGTCGTACTAGTCGTAGTAGAACCCGTAGGAGTAGTAGTAGTGGTGACACTAGTAGTGATCTTAGTCGCACTAGTGGTCGTAGTAGTAGTAGTAGTACTCGTAGTAGTAGTAGTAGTAGTAGTAGTAGTAGTAGTAGTAGTACTAGTAGTAGTAGTAGTAGTAGTAGTCGTAGTAGTAGTCGTAGTAGTAGTAGTAGTAGTAGGTAGTAGTAGTAGTAGTAGTAGTAGTAGTAGTAGTAGTAGTAGTAGTAGTAGTAGTAGTAGTAGTAAGGGTAGTAGTAGTCGTAGTAGTAGTAGAAATACTAATAGCAATATTAGTAGTGGCAATGCGAGTCGTCGCCGCGGTCGTGGTCGTAGTAGTAGTCCTAATAGTAGTAGGACTAGTCGAAGTAGTAGTGGTAGTAGTAGTAGTCGTAGTAGTCGTAGTCGTAGTCGTAGTCGTAGTCGTAGTCGTAGTCGTAGTAGTAGTAGTAGTAGTAGTAGTAGTAGTAGTAGTAGTAGTAGTAGTAGTCGTCGTGGTAGTAGTAGTAGTAGTACAAGCCGTGGTAGTACTAACAGTAATAAAAAACATTGGTAGTCGCCTGGGCAGCAATAGTATTAATAGTAGAAGTCGTAGAAATAGAATTAGGCGTAATCGCAATCATAGTGGTGGTGGTGGCAATAATAATAGTAATCGTGAGAACAGTAGGGGTAGTAAAGGTGGTAGTGCTAATGGGGGTACTGGGCGTAGTCTTAGTTGTAGCAGGGGTAGTCGTAGTCGTAGTAGTAGTGGCAATCGTGGGGGTAGAAACAAGTGGCACGTGTGCCATAGCCCTTGCACAAAAAGGAAGGGGGGGGGATGAGAAGGAGGAGGAGGAGGAAGAGGAGGTGGAGGAGGGGGGAAGAGGGGGCAAGGCATCGCCCTCTGGGCCCAGCAACGGGGCCCAAGTCCCAGGTGGGGAAGGTGGGGGAGGCGGCGCGCGTCGCGACGCGGAATAAAGTGTTCGGAGCGGAGGGGGCACGGGGCGGAGGTCCCACTGGGGCGCTGGGGGCGCGGAGAGGAGGGGTGGTGGTGTGTGCCGCGACGCGGAATAAACTGTCGGGGCGGAGGGGGCACTGGGCGGGGCTTGGGGCAGAGGGCCACGGGGCGGGGGTCCAACTGGGGCGCTGGGGAAAAGGGGGGAAAGGGGGGGGGGGGCGTGCGTCGCGACGCGGAATAAAATTGTCGGGGCGGAGGGGGCACGGGGCGGAGTCCCCGCTGGGGCGCTGGGGACGCGGGAGGGAGGTGGGGGAGGTGGTGTGCGGCGCGACGCGGGATGAAACGTTAGTGGTGGGGAAGGCGCAGTGGGCGGGGCCCCCGCTGGGGCGCTGGGGGCGCGGGGGGGCTCGGGGCAGAGAACCGCGGCGCGGGGGTCCCACTCTGGCGCTGGGGCGCCGAGGGGGGGGGGGGGGGGGCGACGCGTAATGCAGCGCTCGTGTCGGAGGGGGCAGTGGGCGGGTGCCCCGCTGGGGCGCTGGGGCGCGGTGGGGCTTGGGGCAGAGAGCCGCGGCGCGGGGGTCCCACGCTGGCGCTGGGGGCGCGCGGGGGGGGGGGGGGGCGTGCGACGCGGGATAAAGCATTCGTGGCGGAGGGGGCAGTGGGCGGGGCCCCCGCTGGGGCGCTGGGGACGCGGGGGAGCTTGGGGCAGAGAGCCACGGCGCGGGGGCCCCACTCTGGCGCTGAGGACGCGAGGGGGGGGGGGAGCGACGCGAAATAAAATGGTCGGAGCTCTAGACACCCTGCGCAAGAAAATAAAATGGTCTGGGCGGAGGGGGCGGCGCGCTGGGCTGGGCTGCTGGGGAGAAGGGGAGGGGGGGGGCGACGACGACGCCGAAATAAAGTGGTCGGGGCGAAGGGGGCGGCGCGCCGGGCTGCTCGGGAGAGGGAGATGGAAGGGGGGGGGGGGGGGGCGACGACGACGCCGAAATGAAGTGGTCGGGGCGGAGAGGGCGGCGCTCTGGGCTGCTGGGGAAAAGGACAGGGAGGGCGACGACGACGCCGAAATAAAGTGGTCGGGGCGGAGGGGGCAGCGCGCTTGGCTGCTGAGAAGAGGGAGAGGGGGGGTTACGGGTGGAGTTGATAAAACCGCGTGTGCGTACGACTTCGTTTTGCTGCGTTGCATCGCCGTCACCAGCATCATCATCATCGGCATCAGTTGACAAAGTTGTGCGCGCGTGTACATGCGCGTTTTCATACTATCACAAAGTGCGTTCTCATATCATCGCTGTCGCGACCCAAACATCCCCAGAGATGTGCGATCTGGTGGCAAACAATCCGTGCGTCGAATCCATCAACATGGCGACTGCGACGACGATCGTGCGATGATGGCGGTACTCGATAGCAGGAAGGTGATTGAGCCTCAAACCAGCTACGGAAGAGAGTACCCGAGTTGAGAACTTAACTTGATATCTTCCCATATGGAACAACACACATATGATGATGATGACGAGTACGTGTTTCAAGATGCTGCTGATGACGATGGTGATGACGAGTATGTGTTTCAAGATCCTGCTGATGGCGATGATGATGACGAGTATGTGTGTCAAGATGCTGGTGATGACGATGATGATGACGAGTCTGTGTTTCAAGATGCTGCTGATGACGATGGTGATGACAAGTACGTGTTTCAAGATGTTGCTGATGATGATGGTGATGACGAGTATGTGTTTCAAGATGCTGCCCTTTCCTGTCGCGCCCCCGCCCTATCCTCGGAGATGGCGGTTTCGACATCACCCTGGGGTCCCCTATCATAATGGGCCTCACAGGGCACCATCGGGAAACGCAGTCCACCAGACTAAAGGAATAACCCCCTGGGTCTAAGCACCCATAGCGGGTTCCATAAGTCCTCCTCTCCTCTCTCCTCTTCCTCCTCCTCCTCCTCCGCCTCCACCTCCGTCTCTTCCTCCTCATCCCTCTTACTTCCAGTGGGCGAGCGCCGAAGCGCGTTCCAGAGGGACATCTTAAGCCTTGATCCCTCGATTCTCCGGCCTCCGGAGGCCCGAAACAAACATGAGCGAATTACCGTAATTGTTGTTTTGCAGCGGGTAACAACAACAATCCTTATGTGATAAACTACACATAGAATCTGCTGGCAGGTTATGACAATGTTGATAACGATTAAGCTTCGCAAGGGATTCCGAAGGCCATTGCGACGATAAGCGCGTGTTTCAAGATGCTGCTGATAACGACGGTGGTAACACGCATTCCTTTGAAGGTGATGGCGATGACGATGGCGGTGACGAGTATGTGTTACAAGACGCTGCTGATGACGATGGTGATGACGAGTATGTGTTTCAAGATGCTGCTGATGACGATGATGGTGACGAGTATGTGTTTCAAGATGCTGCTGATGACGATGGTGATGACAAGTACGTGTTTCAAGATGTTGCTGATGACGATGGCGATGACGAGTTTGTGTTTCAAGATGCTGCTGATGACGATGGTGATGGCAAGCATTTGTTTCAAGATGCTGCTGATGACGATGGTGATGGCGAGCATGTGTTTCAAGATGCTGCTGATGACGATGGTGCCAGGTCGGGTCCCCGAGGCCATAACATTCTTTTTAGAGAAGCTGAGGGTGGCGATGGCAGGTAACGACGGCCTCGACTCCCAGAGTGACCAGGACACTCGCGGGCAGCACAGACGTACATTGTGTAACACAAAACTCATGGCCGCAGGCCGCCCAAGAAATAAGATCGGGCCTGCGACAATTCCTCGATCGACGAAACGATTGAATCTGCCACAAGCTCGGCTGCTCGAGCGGGAAAGCGGGCAGCCTTGTGCCTGTGCGCTACGCCTTTTGCCGTGCGGCCGTCAAAACGCATGTGAGGTCGCCCCGAAAACGAGCAGCACGCTTTACCGTGATCACACACGCGAGCCAGGCGAGACAAGCTGGGGCAGTGCCAACAACACACGCGTGTGGGAACGCGAGCTGCGGCACCAAATTGACACAGGTCCACCTGAACGTTGAGACACGCAGAATGGTTCATTAGCTCAACTAGCTGAGGAACATGCCAGATCAAACTGCTACGAGGATGCTCGAAACACACAGGCACATGATGCTTCACGCGCGCACGCAAAATCTGAATGGCAGCCTGCATCTCGACATTGTCACACAGAAAGGCAGGGACCAACACTGAATTGGACGCGCCGTACTTGCGACCCCAAGGGTCCGCCACAGAACGGCAAGGCGGGACGCCTGGCTGCCTCCAGGTACTACGAGACAAGGAGATCCACAAAGCACAGACAGCGTACGACCGAATCCAGCCCAGGATTCGATTGACCACTACTCGCTCAATCAAACCTAGACTCGCGTTCCGACCTGCTCCGAACGATGGGCAACCCAAACCGCGACTGCGCAGCGCTTTGCATATGGGGGCCCCATGAGGCCCCAGCACAAGCAAAACGAGCCGCCTGCGGCGAGAGGCCCACGCGTGAGCACGTCGAAACGCCCCGTTCAAACGAGAAGCTAGCGCATGGTCAGAACTGGCGCCCGCCTTGCGACTGGCGGGACGGCAGGCATGGGCTGAAGAGGAACAGCCAGCGGGAAATGGCCGTTCACAAAACTGCACACGATGAGCTCCGCCAATCTTTCGAGCACCTGATTTCCAAAGCGACTGACTTCGACGGGCAGGTCTCCGATTCTCTGTTGCATCCGAGTGCGCTTGCCATGCCGTCTCATGCTCTTGTCCGTCACCCATCTGCCCCTCTCTTTCACTGCCGCCAACGATCGGGACCCCGAGAGCAAGTCGCGTGAGGCCCCCCCATGGCGGAGGGCGTACAAGGACGGGGACTCCTTCTGCAGCCCGAGCTCCCTCAAGCCTTGGGCGAATATCAAGCGGACGTCGGCGGGTCTGAAGTTCCACAGGCTGGCGCGTGGCTCCCTGTTGGCCTTCAGCGCGAGCAGCACGGGCCAGAGCTCTGGCGCATCCACCAGCACCGACTCGTCGGTCTCGCCCGTCTTGCCAGGCCGGCCTGCTTTCGCGTCGTTGACGATGATCCCCCATGAGCTGAACCCCGTCCCAGCTATTGGCGGCACCAACGAGCTCACTCTCAGACGGTAAGCCTCCGAGGGCCGCAGGTACGCATGAAACACCAGCGCCACGAACACCCCCACGCTGGGCAAGTTGCGAGAGAACATCCAACCAGCAACTGCCATGGCCGCAGCTCGCGGCAGTGGGGGCCGCATCTGCGGGGGGACCAGCCGCCGCCAGCCGTCGAGGGCTCGGGCCGCTCGAGGGGGAGGGCGCCTGCCGCCGAGCAGCTGGGGCAAGAAATGCCTCAGAGCGGCTACTGACATCCTCCCCGTGGCGGAGTCGAACCCGTCCAAGGCCAGGTCGGTCATGAACGCCACCAGCGCCACGTCCAGCTGCGGGGCCGAGTGAAAGTCCAGGCCGTGCCAAGTCACCCACTCGAGGAACCTCTCGGCGTGACCCCTGTAGCGCTCCCTGGTCGAGTCCGTGGCGGCAGACATCTCCAGGAAGCTGATGGCGCCCTCCGCCAGCTGCGTCGGCCGTGGATGCTGCTGCTTCCGAGCGACCCTCAGCGTGAGGGAGCGCTGAACCGCCGCTGGCTGTCCCTGGCGCGCCCGCGGCCGCCTCCTCGAAGCTTTTGCCGTGGAAGAAGCCATGCCGAGACGGGCCGTCCGCTACATTCAGCTCAGAGGGCAGCCACCGCACATAGCATCGGAAGTTGACTGCAAGAGCGAGGGCAGCAATTTTCCGCAAAGGTCGCCGAAGGACAGGCTTGCGCCCCCGCCCTTGCCCAGCGGCTAAAGCCAATGGCAAATTGTCGACGAATAAGAGATGACGACGATGGTGCAAGCTGACGTTGCGGGACGCGTGGCGAACGGCGTCGTGCAACGCCTCCCCCTCGAGCTCCAAGATGTTCCTCATGGGATCCCAATGCCTCCTCGAGATGACCGTGGCCCAAGCTGAGGCCTCCCTGATCTCCTTGGGGACCTCCAGAAAGCCCTTGACGGAGCCCTCGGGGTTGAACGATTCGACGTAGTCCACGGCGACGGAGTCCAAGAGGCCCTCCTCCAGGTGGAGCTCATCCAGCCCCAATGCGTTAGCCCTTGCTGTAACTGCCGCCGTGCGCCTGTACCTCCACCGCGCCGTAACCCTCCCCATGTCGGCCACCTGAGGCCAGTCCAGATCTCGAGTACAGACGCCGACGCCAATAGGAGACGCGTCCGAAGCGGAGACCCGTGAACCCCAAGGAATACCCAAATGCGAGGACCACAGAGGCAGCGTACTAGCCACGCACCAGAGCTCAAACCTTACCGAGTTCCACGAAGGCCTGACGTTGGGGCCCTTGAGGGACTTGAAAGCGTAGACGGAGTGTATAATAGACAAAGTCTCTCTTTTACAAATCATCGCCCACGTGATGTGCCCGAGCAAGACTTCCAGCAGGCGGGGCGAGGCCGCCCCACGCCGCAGGACAGCCAGAATGGCCTGCCGCAGGCGCAGGACGTTGGAGGGCTTCACCCGCACAGTGCCTTTTTCACCGTCGATCTCGAGACCAGTGAAGACAATCTTCGGCGAAGCCGCATCGATGGAGTGAATGGGTTACCCCCGCGATTCAAGCGTCCGCGTAATCTGATCTCTCTTTACCGTCACAATGTCTGCATCGCAACCCACGACTGCAAAATTATCAACGTATCCAGCAGCAACTAAACTCACAGGCGAGTGCAGCACAGGACTGGGGCGGCCGTCCTCGATCAACGATCCGTCACTGAACCCGTTCTCCACTAGAGCCCTGCGCATGATGCTCTGACAAAACAGAAGCGACCAACTCCATCCCATCGGTAACACGCGCACCATGGGCTGAAGATAGCAGTCGCTAGCCACTGGCAATCCGTCGACGTGAGTAATCCCCAACAACTGATTTGAAATAGTGGGCAACGTGAAGCATTCCTCCATCCCTTTTGGCACCAGCATGTGATAGAATGCACATTGGATGTCACCCTGCGCTAGAACGACGGGACGCTGCGACTCCAAGGCGGACCAAGCAGCAGCCGCCGGAAGCGTCGTCTTGGGCGGGGGCTCGAAATCCTCGTTCGCCACTCTTGTGTCGAACACGAGTCTCAACGTGCCCTTGCCCACCTTCTCAACAAAGAAAAATCCCAAACTATAAGGATCAGCAGCACGCGCCACGCGGAAGCTAATCATGCCACCCTGAAGCAACTTGCCAACGAAACCAGCGTAGGCGCGAGGGCTGTTGGCCAAAATCGGGCCCACGTACGGGCGCCGCGGAGCTGGCGCATCTCGGGAATCAGAGGCCATCTCACCTTTGAGCATGGTCCGTCTCCATCCCAACAAGCATTCACGATCGGCCTGATCCACCAACTCTGTAACCTCCACAGGTGCGGTAGACATGTCGGGCCAGGACACCAGGTCCTTGCTGTAGGGCTTGACGCGCTGAGACTCCGCGGAATACCCAGGCGCCGACGCGAGCAGCTCTGCAAGGGCTGCTTCGCCTGAAACTCGGTCCTCATGATAGTCAGGAGGCACAGGAAAATCGCGAAAGGCCTGGCTGATGTGGTCCAGCGCGCTCGCCCGGGCAGCTGATGACGTCAGCCCTGGCGGCGCCGCCGCGCCTGCACCGTGGCCGCTCAGCTGGTTGAGCGCCGCGATGCCGTCGTTAGCCCAACGCCTCCGCGCGGCTCCACGCTGCGCCCACTGCTGGCCCCGCCGGCTGCGACAGGAAGCAGCGCGCCCCTCCAGCGCGAGCGGCGGCAGAGGGAACACGTCACGCTGACGCCCTGCAGGCTTCATTGCGGAGCTGCAAGGGGGCTGGCGAGCCGAGGTCCCCCAACCTCAATCAAAGACGGGGGCGACGCTGGTCGCCGCGAAAATGCAGGGGTCGCCCAGGCGGCACCGAGGTGTCTGCGCCCGCCTGGGAGAAGCTTCCGAGGGCCTATGCGCGCGCCGCCCGCTCCTCGCGGGCTTTGCGCCTCTCCTTGGCAACAGCTGCCTCCGCCTTCAGCTGCTTTGCAATGAACTCCGTGAGCATTGGCGAGATGCAGAGGTTGCCCTTGCTCGCCGACACGCCCATGTAGCGCTCGGCCTCCGACGCGAGCAGACTCTCGCTCGCCCCGAGGCCTTTATTCTTGTCCTTCTTCTCCTCGGCCGCCACCTGCGCAGCCACCGCCTCCTCGTAGTGGCGCTCCTCGATGAGCTGAGTCTGCCGACTGACCAGCTCAAAGGTCGCCAGCTCTGACGCGTTGAGCTGGTCGTAGCAGGTGGCCATCTCCAGCAGCCTGCAGTTCATCTCATGCTGATGGCAGATGGCATCCGAGTCGCGAAGCCTCGCCTCCGCCTTCCACTTCGAGTGCCAGGCCAGAGGGCCGCCCGCGTTCCGACGCATGTGCTCCAAGCACCACTGGGTCGTCCTTGGCCCCTTGATCGGCCAATCGTCCCGTGGCGTGGTGGTAGCGTCCCGCAGCGCGACGGAGTAGTCCAGCTGGCGGCGACCAGCGTGATCCGTCGCCAACGGGAAGACGCGAGGATCGGCCGCCGCCAATGGCGCCACCGCCGCGGCCGCACCAGCAGCTGCAGCGCCGCCGCCTGGGCCGCCCGCCCCAGCACCGCCACCCCCGAGGGGGGGAGGCATCGCCACGCCCAGAGCCGCAGCAAGAGCGCCTGCGCCTCCAGGCACAGCATCGCCGCCGCCGCCTCCAGCGCCGTCGCCTGGTGCGGGCACCGCCGCCCCTCCTCCGCCAGCAGCAGCCGCCGCCGCGGCCGCGGCGGCCGCAGGATTCTCCAGCGCCAGCGCCTGAGGGACCCACGCGGCTCCCACTCCCGCCCCACCAGCCAGCAGAAACGGCGAGGGAGGCAGGGCGGCGCCGAGCTGCAAGGCAGCGTCCCGCAGGAAGCCCCACACCTGTGGAGCAGAGGGCACGGCTCCGAAACGATAGACGTTCGCCTCCGCGACTCCGAAGACAGGTGCGCCCAAGCCTCGCAACGGCCGTGCCTCCTCGACGTCCCCGTCAACCTCGACCGATTCCACGTACACATCTCCGTCCACAGTAGCAATAGCAGCACGAGACGGAGGCACATCGAACAACGTGATCCTCTCATGGAAAACTGGCGGGCCTCCCACACGATAGCGAATCACGTGTACATTACCTGGTTGAGGCATTCTGAATGGCGGCCCGTGCTTGCTTTGCGGCTAGCAGTCGTATCTCCTCGGCCGACGTCGCCTCCACTGGCGCGGTGCTGACGCTGGTCGCAGTCCTCGAGCGCCTCCAGATGCTTCCCACCAGCCACTTGCAGCTCAGGAAGGCGGGCACCACGATCACGCCCAGCAAGGTGCCCAGCAAAAAGGCCACCGCGTGGCTGCACCAAACGCTGACCAGGTGCACGATGCTGGCCCCGCTGACGTCGGGACACGCAATGTGGTACCGTGGGGACCACTCGCACGCGCACGGTGGGCAAGCGGGCGGAGCAGCAGAGGTCGCCGACCACACCACCAGGGCCTGCGATGCCCCGCGCGCGAACTCCGAGAGAAAGCGCGTGGCGGCACTCTGCATGCCCCTCAAAAGCTCGAGCACAACGGTAGCGGTCGTGCGGCCCCTCAGCCCCTTCCCCAGCACACACCACACTAAAGTTGTTACAGTGATGACGAGCATGTGTTTCAAGATGCTGCTGATGACGATGGTGATGACGAGCATTTGTTTCAATATGCTGCTGATGACGATGGTGATGACGAGCATGTGTTTTAAGATGCTGCTGATGACGATGGTGATGACGAGCATGTGTTTCAAGATGCTGCTGATGACAATGGTGGTGACGAGCATGTGTTTCAAGATGCTGCTGATGACGATGGTGATGATGACGAGCATGTGTTTCAAGATGCTGCTGATGACGATGATGATGATGACGAGCATGTGTTTCAAGATGCTGCTGACGATGATGATGATGACGAGCATGTGTTTCAAAATGTTGCTGATGATGGTGATGACGAGCATGTGCTTCAATGCGCTAATGATGACGATGGTGATGACGAACATGTGTTTCAAGATGCTGCTGATGACGATGGTGTTGACGAGCATGTGTTTCAATATGCTGCTGATGACGATGGTGCTGACCAGCATGTGTTTCAAGATGCTGCTGATGACGATGGTGATGACGAGCATGTGTTTCAAGATGCGGCTGATGACGATGATGATGATGATGACGAGTATGTGTTTCCAGATGCTGCTGATGACGATGATGCTGATGATGACGAGTATGTGTCTCAAGATGCTGCCCATGACGATGGTAACGACGAGCATGTGTTTCAAGATGCTGCTGATGACGATGATGATGATGAGTGTGTGTTTCAAGATTCTGCTGATGACGATGGTGATGACGAACATGCGTTGGGAGCAATGCGTTGTCATAATGAGCTTCACAGAGCACAATCGAGTGGGAAGCACAGCCCACCAGACTAAGGGAATAACTCCCTGGGGCTAGGCACCCATAGCAGATTCCATTAGTTATCCTCTCTTTACCCTTCTTTCTCCTCCTCCTCCGCCTCCACCTCCGCCTCTTCCTCCTCACCCCTCTTACTTCCAGTGGGTGAGCGCCGAAGCGCGTTCCAGAGAGACTAATAAGCCTTGATATCTCGATTCTCCGGCCTCCGGAGGCCCGAAACAAACACTAGCGGATTACAAATTGATTTCTTTTGTTGTTGAGTTACAAAATGGAATCCTTTTGTGGTGAACTACACATGGTTTTATTTTGTGGCAGATTACAAAAGGATTCCTTTTGTGGAGAATTACAAAAGGACTTCTTTTGTGGAGGATCACATGATGATTCCTTTTTGTGGCGAATTACAAAAGGGAATCCTTCTGTGGTGAATTACAAAAGGATCTCTTTTGTGGAGGATTACAAAGGGATTCCCCTTGGTGGAGGAATACAAAGGGATTCCTTTTGTGGAGGATTACAACTTGATTTCCTTTGAGGGCTCTCCTGAAGTGAGCCAGGGGACAAAAGAAAAGAAAAACAAACATCAGAAAATCTTTGAAAATTAAGAAAATTATGTCCAAGGTTTTGAAGCAAAAACATATAAAAAACACACAGCATTTCCAAGGTTTTGAGGCCGAAACCATATGAAGACATAGCATTTTTGCATTCGGATTGTGAATATGTTTTTTTGTATGTTTTTGCTTCAAAACATTGGAAAATCACTGTAAACCCACAATGTTCCTCATTTCTTTTTTTTATTTTTATTTTTTGTTGTTTTGTTTTTGGTTTTTCCTTTTGTCCCCTGGTTCATTTCCAGGAAAGCACTCAAAGGAAATCAATTTGTAATCCTCCACACAAGGAATCCCTTTGTATTCCTCCACCAAAGGGAATTTCTTTGTAATCCTCCACAAAAGTGATCCTTTTTGTAATCCGCCACGAAAGGAAACAAATTGTAATTCACCATGAACAGAATTCCCTTGTAATGCCCCACACACGAACTCAATTTAAAATGTGCTACAACAGGAATCGTTCTGCATTCCACTACTTTGAGCAATCCTTTAATAGATGACGAAAAGCAGAATCAACAGGAAAGCAAACACATCATAAGTAATATACCAAAAACCGAGGTGGTACACACACACACACACGGTTTTATCAACCTTACGGGGGGGGGGGGGGCGACGACGACGCCGAAATAAACTCGTCGGGGCGGAGGGGGCGGTGCGCTGGGGTGCTGGGGAGCGACACGTAGCGACACATGTCGACACAACGCCGAAATAGGGCGACGACGACGCCGAAATAAAGTGGTCGGGGCGGAGAGGGCGGTGCGCTGGGCTGCTGGGGAAAAAGCGACACATGTCGACACAACGCCGAAATAGGGCGACGACGACGCCGCAATAAAGTGGTCGGGGCGGAGAGGGCGGTGCGCTGGGCCGCTGGGGAAAAAAGGACCAGGGGGGGCGACGATGACGCCGAAATAAACTCGTCGGGGCGGAGGGGGCAGCGCGCTGGGCTGCTGAGGAGAGGGAGAGAGGGGGGGGC